CTTGTGGCGAGTGTCAACAAGAGACCTTATTAAGTAAAAAACGTTGGAAATGTAAATTTTTCTCAGTAGTTTTATATAGATACAGACAAAAAGTATTACTCTTCAAATAACTTAAAAAATATGTAGGTGGCGCCCCCTATTAGTAAAAGTCAAATTGACATCTAAATCTAATTTTTCATGTCAAAAAACTCCCAAACGCCAATTTTCGTCCAAATATTGACGTCACTTCAGAAATTATTTGGAAAAAAATCGAAATAAAAATGAAACTTCTACACCCTGTATCTCCGAAACGAAGCATTTTAAAAACTTACAAGTTCATTTTTTTAGAAAGCCAATGCAACATTTCTGAGTTTCAAATAAAGATAAAAAACAGTAAAACATATAATAATAATATGTAAATTATTTTCTTGGATACATACATATATGGCAAATAATAACAGATTGTTTTATTAAAGATTTACGTTTTGGTTAATTCTAAAACTATCTTCAGATTATATGTGATATTACTTAAGTGATATTACATTATAAAAGAAAAAATGAAAATTATACCTTATAATCGAAAAAAAACGGCGTCAGCGATGGCTATGAAATGAAGATCGCTGTCATTTTATATGTAAAATTATATGGAGTATGTATCGATGGTTTTTTCCAAGCCAACTGGACGCCGTTTTTTTCGATCATACGGTATTACAAATTAATAATAGATTAACAGTCGAGAAAAAAAAAGAAAAAACTCTAGGTAAGTACTGGATAAATTTTAAAATGGCATATTTATTTTATCTTTGTTTAATATAAAAAAAACGAAATATCTACCTGGTTTACATAACCCTGTATAATTTGTGAAATAATAATGGACAAAAATGCAAGCGGTAAGAAAAATATTTACAAAAAATATGTACTTGTTTACATTTCTGGACCATTGTTCGTCATTTTTGTTATCATAATGGTGACCCTATCATAAAAACGTAGTTATTTCTATACCTGATGTGAAACTATAGGGAAAAAGTAATGTTTGTAAAATATTTTAGTCTTGAAAAAAAATAAGGAATGTTTGGTATTTTAAAATGTTTGGTAGCTTGTAATTTTTTCGACTTTCTCGATTGTTTATAGTTTATAATAAGCCTTAAAAATTGTTGTTTCATAATGGAATATCATTCTGGAATTCCTGTATGTTATTTTAGATTCTAAGGATGGTTTTAGAATAAAAAGAAACACATTTTTCATAAAAAAAAGCATTAAATTAACCAATGCCCAAGAAAATAATGTGTCTACTTCTTATGTACTTAATAATGTATCTACTCGTTATATTAATAACGAGGTTAGTAAGAACCTTTACGTAAATGATAAATATAAAAAATACAGATTTTCCAGGGTTTATAATTTACTAAATTATTATCTAAATAAGCGCCTTTCTACAACGCCACTGACGCCAAAATAGTAAATTTGACTTACCTGTGGAATGTTGTTCCAGGACTTAAATAGTCCAATTTCTTACAAATTTGGCACTGACGAACCATGTTTTATAGTTTTTAAATAAAAAGTAATCAAAATAAACACTAAACCGACACTACACACTAAGAAAATCGAATCCAAAAAATACAAAATCAAAACATCCAATAAAACAATAAAATAGCCATGGCGAAACTGTGACAACAAGGTTTTACGACACGTGCTTTACTCTACTATGGCTCTACTACGAGAGAATAAAGAATGAACAGGCGACCCGGCGATTGATGGGTGTTGCCAAATTGTAAAGAATTTGTCATTTTTAAATAGTCTCCGACTTATAATTTAGTAGTATAGGGACTATTTAATACATCTTTCTACTATTAAACACTACTTTATTAAAATACAGTTTTAATATCTCAATATATGTGTATAACAACAAAAAAAATATTAATAATATTTTAGACGTGACAACATAGGCTGGAGGCGAAAGACTCAGACGGCCGAGGTCAGCTGCACCCAGGAGTAAACATGTTTACAAAAATTAATATTGGACCGCGCTTAAATGTAAATAGTGTAGTCTATATTTTATTCAAAGTCTATGGTGCCTCCACGTCAAGTATTTATCTCTTTTGAATAATTTCCTAATCTAAAAATTTTCGGCGCATATTTCAAATTTTAGGTTTTTGCTACAGACTACTTTATGACCATTTTTTAATGCACGAAGATTTTTATCCTTATCTCTGCACTCCATAGTATTTTCAGTAAAATGCAGAGTTAAACTGTGTACTAGGATGTATTTCAGAAACGTATGTTCACAAGGATCTCTTACAAAGTGTGAGTGGTCAAGGGTATTTTTTTTCAGTTTTTTGCTTCCTTTTTTATCACTACATAATCTTAGATTTTATTTATAATTTGTTTTGATAATTACAGAAATCATTTAAGAATGTTGTTTAAAATACTGCCAAATATACATCATTGCAGCAAAATGCAGCAAAAATCACTAAAAATCCAATATTGATGTCTTACTTTGAACTTAATTATTGTACTGGGTGGCCAACTAAGAATGGTCGCCGGCTGTATCTCAGAAACTACTTATCGTATAACTTTGGGGAAAAAAAATTAATAATTAAATTGACCAAGAGAAATCGCTGGAAATTATTTTCAAATTCGAAAAATGTCCGCTAGGGGGCGTTTCTCTGATAGCCAATCATAAACAGTTTTTTTCTCAAAAATATGCAGGTGAACAGGTATTTTAAATACTACTATTGTAATCATCGAGAAATTTGTAATTTTTTTGATGTAGAGTATTTTACTCTATCTCATAAAATGAAGGTTAAACTTGCTTTTATTAAAATAAGGACAACTCGGGTTGGGGTAGCCGATTTAAACAAACTAGGACTCGTTTAAAAGAGCTTTGCTTCCTAAATTATTTCCAGTATAAATTTTGTTTCCATCATTTTTTTCGTGGTAGCTAGAGGGCGCTCTTTGACATGATAACAGATTTTGCGCTTTTGCATAAAAAAATTAAATAGGAGGCTATATTTCTCTTTGCACAGTTAAATAGAGCACAAAATTTCCAAAAAATCAGCGCAAACCGCAACTTTCTATCTTTTCTCTAACGGGAGATATTAAGAAAATAAATCATATTAGGCTGTCGCCTAGGATTATACGGTCTAAAGATTATAGTAGTAGGCTAGGAAACAAAAAGAGGTAAATTCGTTACGTCAAAATATCAAAACATACATTTTAATACCATTTAATTGTTATTTATCCATGTTCGTTCTTGATTCTACCCCATAAATTAAAACCCAGGCATATTGAATCCGATGACCTAGCTGGTCATGGAAATATGCCGCACCGGCGTCTCTATTTACTAAACAAAGTAAGTGGTATCCAAGAAGCACATCCATCTTAGCAAAATAAGCGGCACAACTGCACCCACAGCATCAACTACATCAACTGTATTCATGCTAATGAAATTGCAACAAATGCAATTTCATCGTGATGGTTCCCCTAACAAAATTGGCAATTCATCTCTTACAAATTATGGATAGTTCATTTCATTCAGATAATTAAAAAAGTCCAATCATTCGCCATCCTAGAATTCCTCCCTAAAAATTTACCGACCAACGGTCTTGGTGCTGAGCTACTTGCATCAAGGATAGATTTGGACCAGTAGTGTATATTGTTAAGATTCGTATCTTCGCTTCGGTGCTATATGAAAAGTGACCCAAACGACATAAACTTTAATATAATAATAAATAATACAAACAAGAGGTAAAACACGAAAACAAGTGAAATCAAGGACGAACTTGGATTAATAACTAAATGACGTTACACGAAATAAACCCCTATTTTTCGGCCATGCGAAATTCAGCCGTTTTCTGTTAAAAGCAATACGGCGGCACAAAATTTCTAGAAATTTTAATAAAACTATCGATTGTCCGACTTTTGGACATTTTAATCTGAGAACAACCTACAATTAACCAAAAAATTCGTAAAAATTATATGGATGGACGATAATGTTACATAAACACGTTCAAAAATTTATGACGTCATTTTTTTTAAGAAAACGCCAGAAATTCAGATGCATGGACACTGAACTTCAACGTTTTGATATTTTGATGTAACCAATTTACCTCTTTTTGTTTCCTAGCCTACTACTATAATTTTTAGAACATATAATCCTAAGCGGCAGCCTAACATGATTTGTTCTCTTAATATCTCCGGTTAGAGAGAAAGTTGCGGTTTGCGCTGATTTTTTGGAAATGTTGTGCTCTATTTAACTGTACAAAGAGAAATATAGCCTCCTATTTATTTTTTTTCTACAAAAGCGCAATATCTGTTATGATGTCAAACAGCGCCCTCTAGCTACCACGAAAAAAATTATGGAAACAAAATTTATACTGGAGATCATTAAGGAAGAAAAATTCTTTTAAACAAGCCCTAGTTTGTTTAAATCGGCTAACCTAAACCAGAGTTATCCTTATTTTAATAAAAACAAGTTTAACCTTCCCCCACTACTTTATTTTTTGAGATAAAGCAAAATACTCTATATCAAAAAAAAATACAAATTTCTCGATGATTACAATAGTAGTATTTAAAATACCCGTTCACCTGCATATTATTGAGAAAAACGCTGTTTTCTGATTGGCTATCAGAGAAACGCCCCCTAGCGGACATTTTTCGAACCTGAAAATAATTTCCAGCGATTTCTCTTGGTCGATTTCCTTATTAGAATTTTTTCCCAAAGTTATACGATAAGTAGTTTCTAAGATACAGCCGGCGTCCATTCTTAGTTGGCCACCCGGTACAATATGATGGAAAAAAACGGCGTCAGCGATGTCTATGAAATGAATATCGCAGTAATTTTATGTGTAAAATTATATGGGAAACGACATCGATCGTTATTTCCAAGCCAACTGGACGCCGTTTTTATCGATCATACGGTAGCTGCGTTTAAAAAATTAATCAAAAACAAACGAAGATGATCAACTGGTACTGAATATGCTGTGGTACTAACAACTACTAATGTAATCAAAGTGACATACCTGAATCCCTATTACTTTCATTATCCAATGAAGTACCACTGGAAATTTTCTTTAAATCACCTAAATGTTTGCGGCATAAAAATTTGTCAGATGGTTGAAAATCGATATAATCATCTGCATACATGCTTAATAATTCAGAATTGTCATTCTCGTTGTTTGAAACATTATCCTCTAAAAGTATTACCTGATATTAGTAAACTAACTGATATTTATAATGTATAAAATACCTCGGTTTACCTTATCTGCATAACCACAAGAGCAGTCTGGATAAGGATCTTGATATAAAATACTATTTGGGAAATATTCCAAACTGCTACCTACTGTGTGTAAAAATTGTTCCAAAGTTTCATCTTTGATGATACTCTAGAATAAAATAAACTAAAATAACAAATATATGGGAGACAACCTGTGACTAGAAAACCAGTGGCGGCTCGTCAGGGTAGGCAAAATATTTTGGCAGAATTTAAGCGGTTTATTACATTACATTATTTACTACATACATTATATTATTTACTATTTATTATTATGTTGCCAATACATAAAAATACCTACTGTTAATACACGGAAGTGTGTTTTAATAATCAATATTATTTTAATATTTGTGGTTTTGTATATTAATATATTCACTATCGCTGGCGTACGCTGACTGTGCCGCTGCGTTAAGGTGCGTATTCATTATCCGAACGAACGAACGAATGAAAGTGCGGTATATTTAGACGGGGACCGAACGCATGCGGCCGTTCGTTCGTTCGTTCGCTCGACCATCCGTTTCGAGTCGGTACATCAAAGGCGTTCGCCAACAAATGCCTCCGGTCTTCTCGTGCGGTTCTATCGTACGGTCCCCGTCCATACCACTAGCGAACATTCGTTCGTTCGTTCGTTCGTGCGGATAATGAATACGCACCTTTAGAAAACAAAATAATTTTGACCGTTGGAGTGCCATTGTTCGGCGATTTCTGCATCGCCTACTATCAGAGTCAATGCACGACGTACGGCAGTCTTCTATCTCTGTCTAACTCATTGTGCGGTAGCGACGCGACGAAAGTCGGAGTTGTATCGTATTAAGGCGGGACTTAGGCGAAATCTCCGGTCGCCTTCGCATGAAGTCGTGGAGGCTCGGTAGGGTTAGAAGTTAAGGGGATATTCCCGATATTTCATAAGGGGATTATATCACATATCACATTTCGTTAAGGGGATTTCATATGATTCATTATACGTAGCATTTAAAACTTTTATATTAAAATTCAAAAAACGTTTAAAGTAAATTGGAAACATTTTTCGGGCTTGTCCGAGATTATTAAAAATGATATAACCGGTTGTATTTCAGAACACGCCACAGAAATAAAAGAATCCGAAATAAAAAAGCGCGATATTTTATTCGGTGCAAGAAGACGATACAACAGATATTACAGAAAAGTCTCAGTGTGCTATTTCAATTCGATATGTTAATAAATGCGGCTAAGTCAAATGTCTTTGCGAATGTTATTTTATGAAATATTAGATAACATTGTTATACATTTAGATATAAGGTTTGCAGATAGGTACTCGTATGTCGCAATTATTTTTATTTATCTCTTGCGGATCCGAAATTTAAAGAATCCTATAAAAATTTTCAACGCATTCAACACCTGATTTAACAAATTTGTTATATTGATACATTTCCAACGCATTTAATAGTGATTCACCAAACAAAAAATGTTATTGGCAGTTTTTCGATGTTTTTGTGTGATACGCGTCGGTATAAAAAATCAGAAAATTTCACTAGTGCTTCCTGTGATTAATGTGTATCCAAATAAGATGTTTTACATCGAATTGTGACTATTTAGAGTGGATATTCTAATAAATATTTACAATGGTTAATTGCACGCTATGTGTAAATCAGATAAGCCGGAGCAGGCCGGGCGTTTTTTGCGATGGCTGCAAAAACGGATTCCACGCTGTGTGCATCACAAAAACTGCCGATATTATTCAGCTATTAAACACTATACCGGGGCTATCTTGGAAGTGCTCGGATTGTACGAAGAACTGTATTTTGCTTAATTCAGCCAATCTACAAAATATGATGGAGTCTAAGTTGAACGATGCGGTATCTTCTTTAAAAACCGAAATAAATTTGATAAAGTTGGATGTATGTCGATCTACTGAAATAGAGGGACCTACACACCCTCTAAAATATTCTGACGTGTTAAAGGACAAGTCACAACCAGTTATTCTGATTCGTCCAAAGGACAACAAACAACTACACAGTCAAACGAAAGCTGATATATTGACTAATATTAATCCTTGCGAAGAAAATGTTCAGCTTACGAAAGTAGTGAACGCTAAGGATGGTGGAATAATTATCGCATGTAAAAATAAGGATGATAATGAGAAACTGAAAGCCCTTGCAAGAAGGAAAATGTCAGGCGGGTATAACGTGAAAGAAATTGGTGGTATTCTCCAAAGAATACGAATAGTTGGTTTATCTGCCAGCTACTCGTCGGATGATCTCTATAACTATCTCTTTGCCTGTAACACAAATATATTTCATGAAGAATCTCAATGTAAAATATTAAAAATATTTCCGACCAAGAAAAATCCAAATATATTTCAAGCCATAATTCAAGTAGACAGATCAGTATACGGGCGGGCATTGGAAACTGGCAACCTGTTTGTCGCATATGATAGCTGTAGTGTGTATGATGCATTTGACATTTTCAGGTGTTTCAAATGTAATAGTTTTGGTCATTCTGCTAATAAGTGTACTAACAAGCGGTCATGTCCTATCTGTGCTGAAAATCACGAGCTAAAGGACTGCAAGTCAAATACTAAAAAATGCTCGAATTGCTTAAAACTTAATGATGAAAATGTGCCTGTGGATCATGCTGTATGGGAAAAAATCAAATGTTCAGCATATACAGATGCTTTAACGAGACTTGCCCCAAAGCCAGATAGGATCTAGCAACTACAACTTTTTATTGACTCTCCTAGTAAATATCTCTTTTATATCAAGTTTAGATTAAAGTCTTCAATCCCATTAAATTTATTTAATTACTGTTTATTGTTCTTTTGTTTTTTACTTTATACCTAATTTTTTGTTTACTTTTTTTCTCTACCAAATTAATATGTTAAATATTTCTGTTGCCTTTTTTAATGTGAGATCGCTTACCTGCAACTTTGTAAAATTTAAGGACATATTAAATGCAGAGCGTTATGATGTGGTCGGTGTGGTTGAAACTAGACTAGATGCTCGAATGCTTTCTGTTAATTTGAATATATCAGGTTATGATCTTGTAAGAATGGATCGTAACAGTCGAGGAGGAGGTGTTGCAGCTTACGTAAGTAATAAGTTAAAGTATATAAATTTGGGCGGTTCGTGTGCTGATGATCTTGAACAATTATGGATAAAAGTATACCTCTCAAAATGTACTTGTATAATTGGTACCCTTTATAGACCTCCGCGTACCCTAAAAGAAAATTATTCAAATTTTTTAAACTTTTTTGAAGATAATGTATCTAATTTCGTAATATCTTGTAATAAATTTATATGTGGTGGAGATATAAACATAGATTTGTTAAATATGGAAAATAAATATACTATTCAGTTTTTAGATGCATTAGATTCTTTCGGTTTAAAGCAAATTATAAATTCTGCGACACGTGTTGATCGTCAGTCTGCAACACTGCTGGATGCTTTGATAATATCATCGGACTTGGAACCAATTGATTTTGGTGTAAAATATCCTGATGTTACGGATCATTTATTAGTTTTTTGTAGATTTAAGCAACCAAAAAGTGATGCTAATAGTTTAAAATTTACTTTTCGGAATTTTAAAAGACTCGATAAGGATTGGTTAATGGAATTGCTTTTGGTAACACCTTTTGACCTAATTCTGTATATTGAGAACATAGATGAGAAAGTTGCGGCATTCAGCGGTTTGCTGATTGATTTATTTGATACTGTTTGTCCATATAAAACTATTACATTTAAGAAGAAAAAACCACCTTGGATTACAGACACAATAATTCTAATGATAACCTTACGAGACAAATCTTTTAAGAAATATAAAAACTCAAAAAATTTACAAGACTGGAATTACTATAAAACACTTAGAAATCAGATAAATATAGCAATTAGAAACGAAAAGAGGGCATATCTCCAGGAAACCATAAATAATAATAGATCTCAAAAAGAATTATGGCAAAAATTTCGCGACTTAGAGATATATTCGAGGAATAAAAAAACTATAATACCAGAGTCACTGAATAATGCTCAACTTATCAATGATTATTTTTTGCAGCATAGTGGAATAGAGACGTCGTCAAACTTGGAATTAATACATTTTTATAAAAACCACACAGTTAAAAATTTCAATGCACTTTTTGAGTTTAGTTTGGTGGACGAAGACATTATATATAAGTATTTACTGGATATTAAATCGGAAGCAATTGGCATTGACGACGTGTCCATAAAAATGATTTTGCTTTGTTGTCCGTATATATTGCCTATAATAACAAATATTATCAATAGCTGTCTTTTATCTAACACATTTCCAGATGAATGGAAAATAAGTAAAGTTCTACCAATGCCAAAGAAGTCACATCCCTTAGAGCTTAGCGATTTGCGTCCGATAAGCATTTTACCAACGCTTTCTAAGTGCTTGGAAAAGATAATGAATGCTCAAATTAAAGTATATCTAGATAGAAATGTTTTACTTCCGAAGAGGCAATCTGGTTTCAGACAGGGATATAGTTGCACAACTTCTTTACTTGATGTTGTGGAAGATGTTCTTAGAATGACAGATATTGGAAAAACAACAGTCTTAGTTTTACTGGATTATACAAAGGCATTTGACACCATTTCTCATAAACTACTTTTGGCAATATTATCCTATACAGGTTTTTCCGCGGACGCGGTTGCAATGATTCATAGCTATTTGTCTAATAGATATCAAATTGTTCATACGGAAAACAGGCAATCTACTAAAAATAAAATTCTGAGAGGTGTGCCTCAAGGAACCATATTGGGCCCATTACTTTTTAATATTTATGCAGCACAAGTTTCTACGGAAGTGGTTACATCTAAAACATACTTTTACGCAGACGACACACAGTTAAGTTATTCATTCTATCCTAATGACATAGATAATGCTAATAAAGTCTTAAATAGTGATATAGATAAATTGGTTAAAGCTTCCAGTAAACATGACTTAATTATTAATCGTAATAAATCTTCAGTGTTAATTTTTGGTTATAAACGCCAGTCAAGGTAAAGTATATATCTTGTTTGAAATAATAGCTGAAAGTATTTTTGTATAGGTTGGTAAGCAGGTAATAGGACGGTACATTGAGGGATCATCATAGTTTTCATTCTTCGGGAGAAG